TTTGAATTTTTTTATAATATTAGTTAAATATTGATAAGTAGGCAAGCTAGCATTTAACTTTCCTGAAATAATAAAAATGATATTATTTATTTTACAATATATATCTTGTTATGTATAATATCAAATAAAGAAATGATGTTTATCTACTGGAGAAACCCCTCCAAAAAATAATATACTATATATATATATATTAAAAAAATTATGTTTTTTAGATTATCCAAAAAACTTAAATTTATTATAAATTGTAGCTTATTATTAAATAAACAAATAAAATACTGTATATATTTGATTTTGTTTTTTTTAAAAAAAATCCATAAACTTATTTAATACTGTATATCAAAGTTTTCTACTTTAGTATTGAAAAATAATAATCAGATTTTTTTGATTTAAATCAATGTTACCAAAAATCAAATAATGATACTTGATCACAGAATAATAATATAATCAAGATTAAAATACAAATTTTTATTAAGGAATTTTTCATTGTTTTTTAAAAAGAAAGCTTTTAACATGACAGCTTTATCCTTTTATGTTTAACCAATTATTAAAAACAAGATAATTAAAATCAATGGTAGAGCTAATGAATATTCTTACAATGTCAATATAGTATATCGTTATGGTTTTATATTATTAAGTATTATTGATGTCTTGTGTATTAAATTATCTAATGAATGGAAAACATTTTGCAATGTTTTAAAATTAATTTTCTTAATTTATCGATATTTTATATTTGCTGATGTTTAGAAAGGTCTTGGATAAGAAATTAAACACTTCGATTATAAAGGGCGACTGAGATTAAGACGTAAAAAGTATTCAATTGTTTAATCGACCAAAGATGTGCAGTCACATCGTTTCATAAACAATAATTTTTATATTATGGAATGCACGCAATGTAATTTATAAGCACAATCGGATGACAATATTGTCATTTCATCAAGGTAATAATGTTCTTTCAAAAGACTAAATGCGCATAACTACCTAGCGGGTGTACCGTTGGCACTGCTCGTGTCACCGCCGTTGTTTCTTCTTTGTGCCATCTTTTTCCTTATGAAAGCCTTGACGTGTTCGTTTCCTGCCTCGGTCACGCCAAACATCCGTCTTGAATCGTTCGACCATATGACCACTCCTAATTTATTTGCATGTTTTAAAATCATTTCGTAATCAGACGATGTACGAAAGTCTTTGTAGAGGTGACCTGTTTGATATTGGTTAATAAAATATTTAAGTAACAGAACACATAGTTGAAATGAATTGATTAATGAAAATAATTTGAACATACATTCTTGTGCCACCAGCCTATTACGTTCCATTTCCCACAATTGAATTTGATCCTTTACCGTTGATGGGAGCAAGGCTGGACGCTTCTTCATTTGCGGGTGAGCATGTGAAGTCAAATAAGAGATAATCTACACAAATTTTAACAGTTACAAATTAAAGGATGCAATTTCGATGCAAACATTATGCACAACAGAAGTCGATGGTACGTACTTGTTGTGCAGTAATACCTTTTTTTAGAGCACTCCTAATACTATCACGTGTGATCGTTGCAGTTACCATGTTGGCGAATCGAAATTGCAATTCGCAAAATAAGTTCAACACGGAAATTTGCAGTTGCGATTCTATCATGAGGGTAATTTTTAAATAACAAGAGAAAGTAGCACGATTCGATTATTCCAAAGTAACTCACTTGTATAGGCATAGAGTTTGGAATTGGTTTCAACAATTATGAATCCTTGTTCGGTGGCAGCACCTTCACCAGCATCTAAATCTACATTAGAATTATTCGTGATGGTAGCCGAATTTCCCGAAGTAAGGGTTGTGGCAAGTCGCGTCGGATAATACCTTGACGAACTTTTCTATTAATCATGCACAGAATGATCGTGATGCACGTATAAATTTGTATATTTGATCAAAAATATTTTTTTGATATTAAAGGAAACTCACTTTGCGACGATAAGCGAGTCCATAGTTTTCTAGGTCGTCTAGTAGTTGTCGTTGTGTGGCCGTTAAACCGTCCACCGAATAATCCTTTACAATGATAAAAAAGAATATCAGACAAGCAAAAAATTTGAATTTTATTTTATTTTTTTTGCATCAAAAACGCTTGGTCAATGTTTTGTCACATACTTGGCCCAACTCCAGACTTCCAAGCATAAAAAAGAAATTCAACACCTCCACGACGTTCATATTTAACATCTGTTTTGAGGATTTTCATGCAAGGGATATGCGTAGGTGTGATTTAATAAAGTTCTACCATGGAAACTAATGGTTGAAAATTGAGATGTTACCTCGCCAGCCAAATCCAGGTATTGAATCAAAAATGCCCACACTTGAGTATTAACATCTTGCAGCAAGAATTGAAATCCTTTATTTGTTATCTCGAGTTTACCCCGATTGCTGTGAAACGTGTGAAATGAAAGAGTCAGAACATCAATCACGCGACAGACACCCACGATCAACCTGATACGCATTAGAATACTTACTTTTCTTCCATCAAATTCGCTTTTGTCACCACCTTCAACACCGAAGCACTTGGAATATGACTTTTTTCCGTACCCACCATGAAATGTAATATGCTCTCCCACTTTTCTATTGCGTGTTGATCTAGCAGACTGGCGTCCAATGGTTTGCTCTTGTGTTTTTCCAACGGAATACCGAAACTTTGACGAGCTCCGCTTTTTGTAGATTGATGCGATGTTTTTTTAGACGAAAAAGAAAGGACGAGCGAAAATGCAGATTCAATTCGTTTGCCTACCTTCCAGTCAAACAGTCCTGAAAGCTTCGTCGAAATGATCTATTTAACACCACCCTTTCATTTTGTTCGATCATTTGCAATTTTGTTAGTTTGTCAAACGACTCATCGAATTTCCTAAATTTAATAAGTTGAAAAGATTAGGTGATAATCAGGATCGCGATAAAAGATGACTTTCGTGAAAATTTTTGATACATACGCCAAAGATTCCTTGTCACTTTTAATCCACTGCTTGAGTTCACTTTTACTTAACCCTTCTTCATCAAAAAGTAAGGACATCACCAATTGTTTTGCTAGTGACGGTAAGAGTCTTTTTTTTTTGTTTTTTGGTGGTGATTAATATTCAAGTTATTAAGATTAGATTTGGTTCGTATACCATTTACATTCGAAAATTGGAATTCATTTTGAGACAAAGTAAATTTAATTTACAGGCAAATGTTAATTAATATATATATTTATATTAAATAGGAGATAGATCATAGAAATAATCGATTTCGTATATATAACATATACATAAAATTTTTTATTCGTTTGACAGAAGAAGGTACAGAATTCAAGTAATTAATTTCATTGAATGAGATCAAAAAAATTTTTTCAAAGGAGTAATATGATAATCCCGTTCATCAATCCGAGAATGTACAAAAGATGCATAGAGAAGTTAGTATTAAAAATATATCTTATAAACGTTATATTCATTTACGGAACCTACGTCTAGTTAAAAAGGACGCCAAAGAACATTATTTTTATTAAAAATGTATCATATACATGGGTTCGATAAAGTTAAACGCAAATACGTCGAGGTCTACTAGAAGAACATAGATCAAGTGAAAGGAAGAGAAAAAAAGTACATTTTATTTGTGCACTTTGACTAAAGCAAACAGATTTCAAGAAAAAAAAAAAAAGTGGAAAATGAAAAAGTGAAAACGAAGAAACCATTTTCTTATGCAGTTCTCTATCTAATGATCTTCCTCTGGGGAAAAAAAAAAATGCTTGATCGCAAAAGTGAACAAATTCCAACTAACCTAAATATTGCCAAACAAGTCGCTGGTTCTTCATATAATTTTTCCAGTGTCGTTTTTTGTAAAGCTTCTAAATACTCGTATATATTTGTCTTGAAATGTGAAACTACTTTGGTTGGCATCTTCAATTTGATTAGAATATATTCTCTGTGAAGGAAGAAATGAATCTCAATGTGAAAAACTTATTTATGCACATTCTAACCGCCGATCTGCTGTTGATCCCATCAACTGTGTCAAATAAACAAAAAAAAATTTTTTTCCACAAAACATGTCAAACCCTATCTTTGATTATAAGGAAAAGTTTTCCGTTTTATTCAGAAAACATTGAAAACAACAGTTTCTTTTGAAGTGTCTTGCTTCATGGATCTTGCTTTCCGTAATGGGTTAGGACATAATATAAATGTGGAATCATAGTGCACAGGAGGACCACATAAGAAATTTTCACCTTCCTCGTGTCTCCATTTGACCACTACATTTTGAAAGTCTAATAAAATTATGTGTGAATGTTGTTGTCATCTTATTTACTCGAGGGCCGGCAGTTGAGTCATCATATCTTTCACCCTTTTCAAAACTATCTCATTCTCACATTCAACGGAAGAATCTACATACGGGGGTGCGATGTGGGCGCAATCCATTATGTGAATGGTCGAATCATTCGCTTCGTGCGTCACAGGAATTCTTTGCTATATAAACAGATTGTGGTGCTTAGAACATATTTTTTTGTCTCTTGATCGTGATAATACTTGCCGACGTGAATAATGAGATTAGCCGTTCTTTCCTTTGTCGCATTTTCTCTGAATCGATCGAGTAATCTTCCACTTTTTTGGCGACTATCGAATCTAAGAGATGCCTTGGTATCGCTTCTACCTCATCGTTTACTACACGTTGGATTAATAAAAAAATTGTCATTAATTAAAAATCTTTGCTCAGTCGCCTTTTTTCGAAATTAGTCATCACCTTTAAATTCCGCCACAGCATGAGACATCACAACCAAAACCTTGTACCCAGAAAGCGGTGAGTCAGTATCAAAGTTTTCGGCCTTTATTATTATGATAGCGATTGTCAAAATGTAATCGTGCACCCTGCTATTCACAATGAATTCAAAAAAACATGCGAAACCTGTAATAGAATTATCGTGAAGGTCACGGGATCTACATTGTACAAATATCCTTCCAATGTTTTGCCGGTCGACAGTTTCACAGTGACCAAAGTGCCCAACAATTCGTTGTAGATTTTGATATATGTGAGGTTGCCAAAGTATGGAGGCGGTATAGAAATTTGGGTGGACATCCTTGAACACATCTGGATCAGAGATTAAACTGTTATATATACAGCACAAAAACATCCCGTGATCAAAGTCTCGTGATCTTTTCATATTATTCTGTTAATATATAAAAGTGACAGAAATTAAAAGCAAAATCACTGGAAACAAATTTTACCTATAATCTTACCTCCACCAACGCCTACGCAATATATCAAGTCAGAATTCTTGTGACGCCGATTTTGGATCTCTACCATTCTTTCCAAATAAATCAAAGGTAATCGGTCAAAGCCAAATAAAGAATTTAATTAAACGTCATTTGTGTAATTACCGAAAAATTATGCTTATGCTACCACACCCCCCATGCGGGGTCTTTAAATGTACAGGAGCATTAGTCCCCAAGAGGTAGAGCGTGAACCGATCCTCGAGAGGATCGTTGTTGTATGATCAAAGGGTATTATTACGAGCAAACATTAGTGCGGTATCCACTTCCGTACCAACGGATGCGATGGTGTGACCTTCTGATCACTTTAGACGTGCTTGTCGAGATGAATAGTTAAGACGATTATTATATTTATGCTATTTATATAAATTTGCGTGCACGGTTTATAATTGACGAGCGCTTCGTCAATGAGTCAAAACTGGATTTCCATACATAAAGTAACTGTGCGCGTTTATCAATAAAAACATCTCTCTTTTGAAGATCTGGTTTTTCGCAGGACTTTTTGTATTTCGAGGAATTTACTGGTATCCTCCTTCCAAGAAAATAAAATGAACCTTATTACTATTGCATATCATCGATAGCTGTATCAAAAAAAGAGAAAAAGACCGCAGAATCCATAACAATGGCATACAAATCAGGAAAACAAATTTTGAGTTATTGTCCTAAAAAATTACTCGGGTCAATTTTGTTACGAAAATTATTCATTAATGACGTAATAAATTTTTATTGGTTCAAATTTTATATTACGTAATAAATATCGTTCTTGGCTACATTTTTTAATTTTAAAACCACGACCGTATAGAATCTCACTTCCACACTCATTCCACCACTTGTCTCCCATAGTAGATAGCGAAGGATTATTTTTAATAATCTAATTTCGTTAGTCTCCCAAATTTAATTCACCCGGTTGACCAAAATGTACACATTGTTGAGTGGCCTTCACAAGTACCTTACTCGAAAGGAAGAATATTACATCATCATACTAGGGCTTGATAATGATGTATTCTTATGTTTCAGAAAAGATAATTACAAACGAGGAGGTGGAAGGTGTACCTGTATTAATGTTGGCAAATAAGCAAGACCTGCCGAATTCTCTTAAAGTCGAAGAAATTAAAGAAATTTTTAACAAGATAGCGATGAAATTGGGCGCTAGAGACTCAAGGGTATTATCAATATCCGCACTAGAAGGGTATGACATTGATCTATGATTTCAATTTGCTCATCTATAATGCCTGTAGACGTTAATTTCCTTTTAATATTAAATAGGGATGGGGTACGTGAAGCGGTAGAATGGCTTTTTGTAAGAATACTGCGTAATAAACAAAATAGACCACCCATACTTAAATGAGTTGGAATTCAACCTTGTAACCCGTGTATTCTATAATTCCTGTAACATATTTTATTTCAATTCCGATAAAATAGAATATTATTTCTTAAAACAATTTAGTTCATGGTTATTCTCATCTGGAGAGGTTGATGGCCATGTGTTGAGAAATCAGTAACCTTAAATGGCCTAATTAACCATTGATGTTAAAATTAACCATAAACCTTAAGTATAATTAGATCTTTATTAAATCCGGACAATTAAGACTATTCCGTAATCTGAAATGTTGTTGTAATGATACATATAAATTTGACTAAAGTTTTTTAAAATATTTTTAAATCTAAATTTTCGCTTATACAATAATCTCCGTATATCAATATAAAAATAGAAAATATTTGATGCATTTGTTTGTATTGTTTATCCTGATTTATAAAAAGATTTGGGTAAATAATAAAAAATAACACAAAATTTTATAATTATATTATACTAATGTAAATTAAATCAAATTTTTTGATTCATGAAAATCTTCCAGTCATCACTGGAGCTTGACATAATGTCATATCTTAGATGCATAGCATTGTAATCAAACAAAACAAAAATTTGATTCTCTTTTTGCCAATTATGAGTTAGACTAGGGTGATAATAATAATGGAATGAACTATTACCAAAATATCTTTCACCAACATTAGGTTTTAAAAATAACATGGGAAATCAAAAAATCACAAAAGAATAAATATAAGTATTTGCAAGCAAAATAAAGTTTAATTTAAATCTACATATAAACAAGATCCGATATTTCTATTTCTATTTCAAAAATATTGAATATACAAAAAGAAGTTTATTTGAATAGTATAAGAAATAACATAAAAAAATATCATGTATACTGTATAGTATAAATATACAAAATAATTTTTAACTTATAAAATTGTAATAATTATATAAATATATCAGATGATTATTGATTAAATAAAGAATATTTTCATTATAAGTATATATAGTTGCACTTGATTTTTTTTAGCAAGTAATTTAAATTCAATATAAAAAAATAACAGAAAAATTAAAGATATATAACAGATTCAATACAGAATCCAAATTATTTATAATTTACCAAATTATGGTCTTTAAAAAAAAAAACAAGGTTTATTAACTTTGAAATTAATAAAATATTTAAAAATGATGTTTTTTGATATACAAGTGTATAAGAAATATAAATCATCTTATTTATTTTTTAATTTTATTAATTTTATTATAATTTTAGACTTATAATTATAAGATTTTTAATCTAATTTCTATAAAAATAAATTTAACTTTAAAGAAATTACTAGTATTGTTTTTTTAAAAAAACAATATATAAAAGTAATTTTTGTATTAATAAATAAAAATTTTTTTTAAAAAAAAATCAATACAAAAAAAAAATTATCAAATCATTTTAATTATAATATCTTAATTTTTTATTTTTTTTAATTATATTATTATTGTTATATTATATAACAGAAAATATATAAGAAGTATATATCTTGTTTATATTTATATTATTATATTAATTAATTAGTTCAAAATATTAACCAATTATTAATTAAAAATTCTAATATAACAAAAAGTTTAAAATTAAATTAAATTAAATTAAAATTAAAAAATTAAAAAATTTGTTATACTATATATTATAAAAGTTTTATTAATTAATTTATTATTTTATTTATTACTATTTTTTTAATAAGTATTAAATACAAGATTTTTATTAAACTTTATTATTTATTAATATATTAAGAATCTTTATAAAGTAAATTAATTTTAACTTATCAAAAAAATTAAAATAATATAGACCTATGGGTCTATAGCACAGTGGTAATGCTCCATAGGTCACCAGGAGAAGGTCTAGGGTTCAACCCCGCCTGGTTACAAAAACTTATCACCTTCATGATTGATTGACCGGCTTCCAATTCATGTCGTACTATACTGAACACTTTCAATAAATTTTTTATACAAATCACCATATAAGTATTTATAAAGGATCATCCCATGTTGCTCAATAATTAATTCTTTATTTTTTTCAGCCATTATTTTAATAAATAAATTATATGTTGATAATGTGACTACTTATAAATACAATAATAGAAAAGGATAGAAAGAACATATAATTAAATAAATTATATTATGTTTAAATAAAAATAAGTAAAAAAATAAATAAAAACATAACTATTTTAATATTCATGATCATTCTTTATATGCAAACTCTAAAAACTTTTGTAAAAAAGGTAAATAATAACTAATTGCTAATTATATTAAATCTGGTATATATACTTATTAAGTAAATAGTTGTGATAATAATATGATATTATTAAAAAAATTGATTTTTATAAATATTGAATTTAAAAATCAACTTGTTATTATAGTATGGCTATAGGTCTATCCATATTGAAAGTCTTGTTTCTAATATAATATAATCATCTTATGTTAATTTTTTAAAAGGAATAAGCTAACTATAATTTTTTGATATAAGTAGAAATTAAATAGATAAGACAAAATATAATTCTATTGTGAATCTTTTTGAATATGTAATATGATAACAAAATTAAAATTCAGATTAATTTATTAACTTATTTATCTATTTTAACCTAAGATATTTATTTATAATAAATTTAAAATTCTTATTTTTTTTTTTTTTTAATCCCGCAATCAGATTGGTGTCGTTTATTTATTTAATCATAAAGAACCATTACAAGTTGAG